TAACATCCTGGGAGAAGAAGTGGAGGAGGAGGAGGAATCCCTTGGTGTTCACCTGGACAACAACCTGGACTGGAGACACAACTGTCTCTAAGAAGGGACAGAGCAAAGTGGAAATCTAGAGGAAGCTTAAGTTCTTCAGTGATAGAAGCAAGATGCTACATATCTTTTATAAATCTGCTGTGGAGAGTTTAATTCTATTCTATGCTGGATAACAGTATTAGAGCTAATGACTTAAAAAGCTCAACATGATAATTTAGAAGGCCAGTTCTGTTCTAGGAACTCCTCTAGGACATCTGGAGATTATTTTATAAAGAAAAACAGTGAGCAACCTCTTCGGAAGATTTTTAAACACCAACAGATTGTCTTCAGTCAGAGGTTTCAAGAGATCTAGTGCAAGACAGACCTCTACAGGAGATCCTTCTGTTATAGCTATCAGCACCTACAACACCTGTTTAAAAAATAAGATATGAGTTACTGCAAACTTTAATTTCCATTGGGATTAATAAAGTATTTCTGAATTGAATTTGCATTAAATGAACCAAAGCAATCAATTATGTTTTTTATAATTAAATCACTGCCAAGTGCAAATCCCCTGTGGCAGAGACAACAGGTAAATGATCAGCAAGAGGGAAAACTATCAAGGGGTGATGCTGACTAACCTGTTACTGGGTCTCAGAGTCGGTGGTTAGCTCCGTGATGGGTCTGGGGCGGAGGTCAGTTAGAGGACGGGGCTTGTGGGAGCAGGGGCCGTTGATCGGCAGATGGTTTGCAGAGGACTTAGAACGATGAGCTCCAGAGACAGTCCTGGTAAAGCATCCAGAGATAGGGTCCAAGCGACGGTACAAAGGGGGAATCCGAAAGGGAGGTCCAGGTCCGATCCAGGGTCCGATAACTGGCAGGTTCAGAGAAGCAAAGGGGTTAGGCAGACTCGGTTACTCACAGTCAGAGTGGGGGTCAGGCTCACGGGCAGGCGATCCTAGGCTGGACTGATGCAGGGGTCCAGAGGCAGATCAGGTCGGGTTTCCAGGCAGGCAGACAGAACCAGATAAGGGATCAGGCAGGATTGGTGAAAGAAGACTGAATCAGGTCAGGTTACAGATCGGCGGGCAAAAGGATTTGAAAGCTTGGAAAGTACTCAGTGTCTGAGACGATCTGGAACTGCGGACTGATTGAAACCAGGTATACATGGAGGTGGACACAGCTGGAAGCACTTAGTGTTAATAGCAGGCAGGGGGGAGTTGAGCAGGTGTGCCGAGTTGTGGATTAGGCCAGCACCAATGCTAAGATTGCCACAATTAATGATCTAAACTTAGGCAGAGAAATATAAAACTTCAGATAAGAATAATCAACAGGCCAGCTCCAAACTCAGGCTTTGGTCAGAAAAGCCCAAATCCAAAAATAAAATTCCAAATAATATCATCTGATCCTGAAGTCCAGATAAACTAGCAAAGAGGAGGGAATCCTGACTGCTTAAATACGGGACAAGATGGAAAGGTGTAAAACTCAGAAGAACAATATGAAAGACTGTAGAAAGGGCAACCAGATCAGTCATGACAGTCATTTGTTAGAACTATGAAATAGAGAATGGGTTTGAACTGAACAGTGAAAACATTCTGAAGTAGGATTGTGGAAAATTACCAGGTTAACAGGTTTCAAATGTATTTTAGTTCAACTCAGGTTCATGTATACCTACCTACATCTTGAAGGTTCATATATTAAAACAGCATAAATTAAATAAGTTAATGAAGACAACTAAAGAATACAAATTTAATCTATCTCCGATTTAGTCAAAATATTTCATTCATTAGGTGCTGTTCATTTGTCTTCTGCATATCTGCTCTCATTCTGATTATTAAATTCTAATTAAGCAAAAGGCATATGCAGAATCTAAAATGTGACGATGAGGAGAGAGTAAAATTAAAGATGCCAGGAAACTGCATCAAATGTTGTTTCTCCTTCAGAACCTGCTGCAGAAATCGATGTAAAAGTCGCTGTAATGCGATCAGATTATTTATCACTGAAATATTGGTGACTCCAAAGGATTGTGTCTGTGGGGAGTGATGGGTTCAAGGTTTTCAAAGGAGAATCCAATAAAATATTACATTTTTATACTGATATCCAAATATGAAGTCTTCGCTAATTATTAAAATGCATCTTTAAATGGTTTTAGTAATTTGAAAACTATCAAACAAGAAGCCAAAACTAAGCGGAAATAAATCTGACAATCTGAAAATATAACATGCAGAATCATCCTTGAATTTCTTAGAGTCTTATCTTTTTTTCTGGTATAGTTTAGTAATTAATACTCTATATATCAAATTGTAAATCTGTTTATTCTGAACGAAACTGTATCCTTTGATCAGTTTAGTTTACATTTAACATTTTGTTCATTCATTAATGATATATTTATAATTAGTTGCTAAGGTTTCTTTTTAATACGGCATCTTTAAACAGCGCAGAGTTATATAAAGGTGCATGATGGGATATATACAATAAATACAGTGTGTCCACATATGACAGCTTTTTTTTTTTTTTTTTTTTTTTTTTT